AATAATAATAATAATAATAATAATAATAATAATAATAATAATAATAATAATAATAAAAATAAAAATAATAATAAGGCAATTAATAATATTTATTCATTTAATAGCATCTTAGGATAAATAGGCAAGTAGGCAGCAAGTAATAATAATAAAAATTATATATCAATAATAGAAATTAGGCTAATCAGACATTTATAATAAATAAAGATAATTATAACAATAAAAATAATGCAATATAATAATCTCAAATAATTCTAATATTATTCAAAATTAAACGGGGCATTACAGTCCACCCATTTATTTTTCATGGTTTCGTTGAGATTTTTCCTCGAATTTCTATTAGCCATCGTCTTCTCAATCTTATGCTCCTAAAAAATGGTAGAGAACTGGTTAAGTTTTTACATACGACGCTAATTTCATAGGTAATTCATCCTTGAACCGATAACGGGACAACTTTGAACTGGTTTTCTTCCTTCAAATGGCCTTTATGAACCTGTAATATGCCGGAGGTGTTCCCGATAGTTGACTTCCGACGGTCAAGTCAGTTCTAAAAATATACAAAAAATGATAATTACGTGCGTGAGTACTAAAAAGCCAGAGAGAGAAGAAGATGAATCATTCAAAACCTGAGACGCTTTTAGAGGAAAATTACATTGATGCCCAAGATTTATTCGATCTTGTTTCCTATGATCAATCCAATCTTGCTGCCCAAGATCGGCCCTATCTTGTTGCCCAAGTACCCTTGTTGCCCCATATATATCCCATCTTGTTTTTATATTTATTCGGGATCTCCTTGAAGAATTCTTCAGGTCATTCCTAATCTTAATCTCCTTGTCTAATTTCAAGGTTTTATGCATCTCAGGTCAGTGGCTCATCCTGACACTCGTTCCGTATGTTAGAGCTCGTGAGATTTTACTCCCGATCGACTGTTCCTAGCTATGAGGTCCAAGGTCATGGTACGAGCTATTAAAATTTAATATGTTCATATCGAGCTATAAGTTCTTTAACCTATCAGGGCTCAACTGTCAAATCCATCAACCATCACCTTCGAGCTACAAGCCCAAGTTAATTCTCCGAGACTGGTCTACCGAGCTACCTTCTTTAAACCAGTCTACTGTGATATTCTAGTTGTTATATTAGTATTTATTTGTTTATTTCATCATTTGATACTTCAACCTTTGATAAATCAGAATTCATGCATTAAATTTTGTTGGGATAGCACCAATGATCCCGCTGTTAGATTTTCATTATACATACATGTAAAGAAAACTCTTATTATAAGAAATTCTATGGTATCTTCGAATCGTCAATTTGACAATCCAATAACATAGAACTGAGAAATGCTGGTGAAGTTACAATATTTTCAACAGCGTACGACAGCTGGACGAAGAATTTAACCAACAATTTTTGATATTTCAATTGTCCAAATTTGGCGGGTGAACTCTCATTTTGTTTATCTTTTCATGCACAATAACTCTTAATCATTTTTTTCTACATTTATGCATAATATATAAATGATTTAACACATCTTTTACTGTAAAATAGTAATAGAAATAATTTACTTTAAGTAGAAAGTAAAATACTTTTTAATAATTTAGATTTTACTATAATTGGTAAGTTCTTAATTTTTTTTTGAAAAACTTGCGGTTTATTGTAATTTGAATTTCAATTTCATTCAAACATTTAAAGGAAAATATCATAAGAATATTTTTTTCAGATATATTCCATTTTATCTTACCTGACATATAATCACATTTCTAACAAACATTAAATTTGCTTATGTGTTTTTAATTAATTACATCTATACATTAAATATTTAACATTATATAAAAAATAATATTACTTCTACATGTGTTTTAAATAATATTGACATTATACGACAATCAATTTTTAAATAATATAGTATTTGAGTATTATGATGAACTAAAATACGTAATTTATTATTTAAAATATTATTTATATTACTATAAACAGTTCATCGGGCTAACATATTGTTAAAATAAAGTTTTCAAAAAATGTTCTAAGGTACGATATCCCCGTGCAGATTCTCACTAGTAAGGACATTTTAGTAAATAAACAACTTAAGTTTTCTCTTTTTATTCATTTAATTATAGAAAAAGAAACATGTCAATATCTAAATGATATCTATTGTCACATATATACGAGATGTCATAATGCTGCCATCATAGTTTGTCTTGCTGCCTCCTTCCTCATTTCTGCAGCTTTACCACTTCCTCTGAAGTACATGTAAACTTGCTGTGCAACATTTATAACAGATAAATGTGAGTTCAAGAAAAGCCAAACGGAACAGATAGATCAACTTGGATATAAAAATCATGAGTTCAAGATTTTAACCTGAATCACCCATATGCTAATCAGTGATTCAATGCAGAAGAACCCAAATCCAACAAAGTAAAATATCTGCAAGCAAGACAAAAATGCCCCCAAGACCTCAATCGCGCATAAAGTACGAAACTCGATCGACATAAGAGCAAAGCAATGTCCTCAGCCAAAACAAAGTGCTCGTGGAGAAGGTTAAGAAAATCAAGAAACCATGAGGTCATCATCACACAGGAATCCATAACCAGATGATTTTTGTTACTTGTTATGCAAAAACGAAAAAAAGGAACAAATATATATATATTTGTTTAAATTTAACGTAAATTTTCAGTAAGCATGATCAATGTAGAGAGCCTTACCCCAACAAGAACATTTTCACTAAGAAGGTCAATTGCAGGCAAGATTCCACTGCCAATAAAAAAAATTGGATAAGTTATCAACAAGCAATATGACAAGGATTAAAAAAAAAAACAATCTTTTTTAACCTTCAGTATGTGTTCAGTGTGCATATTATTTATTTCCTATCTTATAAACTCAAGTCAAAAAAGACGGAGAAGATGGCAATTCAAGAGAACATTAAAAGCGAAAGTACGTCAACGATTTCCCTCTAAAAATTATTGGAGGAGCAACAGTGGCGAAGACACAGAAGCCGATGTGAAACTGCACATGCCAACATATGGGAGTTAATGCATCACATGATTTCAACTTGTTGAGGATAACCAGAGGAAATTTATCAAATCTTACCACGTATGACAAGAAAAACCATCCGAAGTTGAGAGCACTATCAGTCCTGGAATGAAGTAAATGTGAAATAATGTAAAATCGATCGAAATGTGAAGGGGAACAATGCATACAAACACAAACACACTGGTCACATTGCCTTGTAAACTTATACAAGTCCGTTTAAACTAGGATAAATAAGACTGGTAAAAAAATTAAACTGACAAGAAATTAACCAGTAGACCTTTTCATTACCTCATTGCACGATAAAGAGGTTTGTACCATAACACATAGGCTCCTGGAACACCAGATATGAAGTAGATGATAGAGAGAAACCAGATTGTCGGACCTAAACCAAAAGAAAAATATGGAGCCCGTTAACAACAACTAGTATTATTGCCGCGCAAATGCACGGGACATGCTAAAAAAAATTGACGTCAATAAACAAAGTATAATCGTACAGATACAAAATTATAAATTTTTCAATACTTCTTCATATTCATGTCCTTTTTGTTCGTAAAAGTTTATTGTTCGTATCATCACATTAATTTTTTTATCTTTTCATGTTGATAATAATACAAAGTCATCATCAACATAAAACTAACCATCATAGTTAATGAAACTAAGCAAAAATGGAATTTGAAGAATCATCTTAAATTAATATAATCCAGAACAACAAAAATTTGTGCCATATACCAAAATACCAAACATAAATTAATATAGTGAAATTAAGAAAAAAAAAATTGTTTTTTTAAAAAAGTACAAAGCATAGACAAAAAATTATATATTCAAACATAATTTCTTTTACCGTCTTTTTTCTTCTATCCAAGGAACGTCTTCCACTTCAATCATGAACTTTGTACTAAAAAACATAAGTTTGTAGATATTATAAAAATTGTGACACTTAAAAATAATCAACCATTTATGTTTCTTAAGAAAAAGTAACCTCAGAGTCATGTAAAATAAGGCAAACCTTCACCACTTTGTTTAATTCATGTTGAGAACAGTGTGAAGACATTGACACACTTGACCTTTGAAACCGTCTTCCATAAAATAAAAATACATTTGGGCCCCACTTTTACAGCTTACTAATAGAAATACAGTTTTTTTTACAGTGTAGGGAGAAACTTAAATAGTAATACATAATGGGACCCACAAAAAATTTTCTATTTTTAGTAAATGTGTTGTGTAATTATATAGTAGATAAATATGGAACAATCCCCCTATATATTAAATTCAGAACTTGCTGAGCCTAAGTCGGGATCCTATGTGGCAAAATTACATGCTTTGTTATTAGGCTTGGGTAGTTATAAAAAATTACTATTTATATGATAACAATAATAAAATTATTTTTTAATATTAATTATAAAAATAAAATTATTTATCAATTAATATATTTATATTTCAAGTAGTTATATGATATAAGTTATAAAATTATTACTATTTATGTCGCACAAATAACATGTGTCATTCAAAAATATATAATAATACATAAGTTTTTAAGAAAATAAATAAAATTTAAAATAAATTTCCTCATTAATGTTAAAATTAAAGAATAATTTTTTAACAAGCACACCCGTGTAATACACGAGTGTTGTACTAGTTAGAATTCAGTAAACCACAATCCACCACGTACCTTCTCCCTTAATCCAAGCGACAGTAACTGCTACAATATTCCACAGAAGGCATCCAACCAGACCTGCCTCATGCCAGTTAAATTACAAAGCTAATAATAGTGGAATTATTTAGGGTGACACACTTTTACTGTGATGCATTGAAAAATATGTGTGTGTTTAGCTGAAAAATGCATTGAATAGCATAGCATGATGAGTGTTTGGTATTCATTCTGAAATAGAAATGGGGAACGAGTTTCAATTTGGTAAAGCGAAACCGAATCTCCCCCAATAACTCTACGATCGTAGTTTCACAGTTAGTATGGAATGAAATGGCGAACGTATCAAGTAGTAATTGGCTGCAACAGCGTCTTTATCATATTCCGATATAGCATAAACCTACTACAACAAATTACAAAGGAAGTTGTAATTTTTCATACCCAATAATGTAGTGAATGCAACATACTGCAACCGTTGAAGATGGATTGGGATTTCATTCCCAATGTCTTGATGAATTATAGGAAAAAACGGAGGCCAATTCTTTTCCTCGATGACAATTCCAGCTGACAAAGGGAAAACAGAAGGAGTAACATATTAAACTCTACATAAAATTAGGAC